CAGCATGTTTTTCACTGATGTATTTCTGAATTAAAATCTTAAAGCCTTTTGTCAGCAAGAATAATAAAATACTCAGTGGACTTCAAATCAGGTATGACTTTTTTATATGGGAAGCCTTGAAACAGAAATCTCCAACATAATTACAACGACCCTGCAAAGAGGAAAGGTTTCCCATTTCACTGGTAGTGAGAGGCAGTTGAGTCTGCAAAGTGACAACTAGTGTGGGTGTCACCCTGCCAGATCATGGAGCCCCGTGACAACCCATGTGTACACAATGCATTTTTTATTCCAAATTCATAGATATTTAAAGTGTTAAGCCAAAAGAAACAAATGTTAATCTCCTCATTCTATATAATCTTTCTATTAACTTGGCAAATTTCAATTAAGTTTAACTCTCTAGCCATTCATTTCTGACCCTCAGAATCCCAGCTGCAAAAAAAAAAAAAAAAAAAAAAAAAAAGTCCTGCTGTTAATCTACTACGTAGGTTAATTCTTCAGCTTTAGAGCGGCCACTGCAAGTATCTCAGGCACGGTTACACTGGTCTTTTTCCTGCAGTTATATTTGTACAGAAGGGGAACAAATGCAGAAAATAAATAACATGTTCTGGACTGATGCATAAAGACTACATCACAGGGCGCCTGGGGGGCTCAGTGGCTTAAGCCTCTGCCTTTGGCTCAGGGCGTGGTCCCAGAGTCCTGGGATCGAGCCCCACATCGGGCTCTCTGCTCCGCGGGGAGCCTGCTTCCTCCCGTCTCTCTCTGCCTGTGTCTCTGCCTACTTGTGATCTCTGTCTGTCCAATAAATAAATAAATAAAAATCTTAAAAAAAAAAAAAAAGACTGCATCACAATTTAGGGTTCAGCGCAACAAGAGCGTATTCTCTCTCCCTTGTTTGTGGGCCCGTAATTCAGGAACAGCTCAGCTGGGACGTCCTAGCTCCAAGTTCTCGCGCAGTTGCAGCTAGCTGTCTCCTGCAGCAGCAGTCATCCGAAGGCTTGACTGGGATTGGAAGCTCTGCTTGGAGATGGCTCACTCACACGGCTAGCAAGCTGCTGCTGGCAGTGGGGTCCTATTTCCTCTCCCTACGGGTGCCTCCCCAGTAGACTGCTTGAGGTTCCTCATGGCCTAGGGGATGGCTTCCTCGGAGTCAGTGATCCAAGAGACCAACGTAAAACCCTCTAAGGACTTTTATTACTAGGCCTTGAAAGTCATAGACACACTGTCACGTCTGCAGTGTTCTGTCAGCACTGATTCAGCGTAGGAGGGAACCCCACAGGTATGACTAGCAGGAGGTGCTGTATGGCCGTTTTGGAGGTCGGTTATGATGGTTTGCCCTCTGGAACACAAAGGTCCGTGTCTCTTCCACATGAAAAAGTACACTTACTTCCTTCAAAGGTCCTCTAAAGCTTCCTTCCATTAGAGGGTCTGCTCAGAATCCAGCAACTCATCATGAGTCAAGTTCATACCAACAGGAAGCTCCTAGGGAAGTCTGAGAACAAAAGAAGGTATTCAAATATAGTTTCTCACCTGAAGACCTGTGAACGAGTTTTGTGCCACCCACACACCCAGCATATGATGGTCAGATAGGCATTGAGTAACCACTACAGACTGTCTGGTTCAAAAGGGGGCAAAAGGGGGAAAGAAGAGCACACAGAAGTAACTGGTCCATAGTGGTTGTAGATTCCAATCAGGTACATGTTGGTAATTCCTGGATTAGGGCTCACTTCTAATTATTTCTTGAAAGTGTTTCTTCATGGGTCTTGGCTCTGCCCTCTGGTTCACAGTTCTACCTCTCTGGTCCATGCTTCCTTTTAATATAAAAAGTAGCCTTTGTTTATAGCCATATAATTTCCTACCTGTAGAAGTTTAAAGACACAGTTTCTGTCTGTCCCATCTCTTTCTCTCTCAGGCCAAGCTGATGGTGTTACCGTAAGTACGTATGGGTTTCCTTTGATTATGTGGGTTTCCTTTGATTATGCTGGCTTATAACCATTAAGCAAAAGCCACATCCAGTATCTGATGAAGATAAGCTTTTTAATTTAATTTAATTTTATTTTTTTATACTGGACTTTTGCTGACATGCTAAGGGAAGAATGCCCTTAGCATTGGTTAACTCAGGGAATCTGTAAGACATTATAATAAGCTGTCTAGCATTTCTTTAGTCTGAATGAATAGTTCTTTGAGGCACCAATTAATACATTTTGGAGGTCTTAAGGTGGGTATCACAGTCATACCTCATTGCCATCTTTACATTATGTTTTACTGGTCGTTGACTTTTGCCTGCAAGTGACTTAAATTTTTGCATTGTTGGCCATCCGGAGAGATTAGAAGTGAGAAAATACTTTATTTTCAAATCCATCAAGTCCTACTCTCTTTGTATTTAATGGTTTTCTTTAGTTTTTCTCTCTTCTTTTTCCCCCTTTATTATAAATAGATGTTCAGAATTCTCTGCCTGAAATGTTCTTAGCTAGGTTACCCAATTCATTAAGTATGTTTCTTTCCCATATAATCATGATGTTATTAAACTTCCTACTGCAGCATAGCCAGGATCCAGTTTTCTCTCATTTCCACTCACATTTATTCCTCACTTCCCTTTAAGCCATTACTGACAACCTCCTCAAGAGCCATCATCAGGCTTCTGCTCACAGTCCTTGTGAAGCCTGCCCAGCTTACTTGTACATCCCAGTCCTTAGGTCACTGCCACTTCTGTAGGTTTTTGTTGTAATTCCCTCCCAGTACCAAATTTATTACTAGGTATTCATTATTGCATAAACAAATTGCCCCAAAATTTAATAGCTGGAAACCATGATTTATTATCTCTCATGGGCTTTTCTAGAAGACTGCTCATGGAATGATCAGCTAGCAGTCTCAGAAACCAAGCCAGATACTAGTATCAGAAGTCATACACAACCACCACTTCATAGTTTTCTACTGATCAGAGTCAGGGCTAATTTAGGGTAGAAGGAGATTAGGAAAGGGTTTGAATACCAGAGGCAAGGATTAATGGACTTCCTCTTGGAAATGTTAGACATAATGCAAGGAAAGGAGAAAAAAAAAAAGACACCCTAAATTTTAATAGATATATATAGCAGTTTGTCCTGTAACTGTTTTTGCCAAGAATGTATCCCGTGTAGAAAAGTAAAAGGACTCGACAATTTCAAACTCCAGAATTTATCAGGGCCAAATAGAACATTGTTAGGAGTGACTGATGAAGTCTTGTTTTATGACCTTAATTATGTCCAATTCATAGTGATCTGTGTGTTACACAGCTGCTTTGCTTCAGAGATCTTATTCTCACAAATAGATCAACTCATTTCGAAATATTTCAAAGCTAGTGTGGATATTTAGAGACTCCCAAGTACTCAAAAAACAGAACCAAATGAGCGTCTTGTTAAGAGTAGTCAATAAAGTTACAGCTGGATGTTTTCTCTCTGCTAAGTTTAGACATTGTACTCCATTCAATTTTATCTTGATTAAACAGATTGAAAATCATATGTATGCATACAACTAGTCTAAATGGGCCACTTATCTAAGATCAGCAGTTTTCTGAGGAGACTAACAATGCAAATGAAAAAAAAATGTGACTTAGGGAAAGATATATGCATGCAATATGTTTGATAACGGAAGTAGATTTTTTTAAGTCAAGAAATTAATTTAAGTAGAATCCTGTTTTTACATAGTACAGTGTTGATAGAAAAATGATATACAGCTCTGTGATTAACTCTTAAAGGGAATTCAAATGATAATTACTAGACTTGAAATATCATAACCCATTAATAATGGAAGAAAGGTTTCTATTATCCTAAACTGGTATTACTAGTCACATAGGACATTTAAAAAAAAAAATCACTTAATGGTCAATTTTTTCGATAAGTTTTCTATTGGAAATTCACTTTTATCAACTTAATGACACGTCTTGATCCCAGCCCATTCTGTATATATTTTTTTCTGTAGCTACAATATTAGACTGAAATGAATATGTTAATAACTTTAGAATTTTAAGCAGACAAATTAGTACAGTTTAAATTTGCTCCAATAGTAAATTTGGTGTGAGGAAAAATATGAAAAGTAGACACTTTTTGAGACTTTCTGGAGATACTTAATGGGATAGAGAAGTATTCTTTTCCTGTGACTTGCACATAGATTTAATGCACAAACTAAGAATTATGCATTTTTTTCCTATTAAAAAGACATAATTTAGGTAATTGACTCATGTTAGTATTTTAAAGTTATTTTGCAATTAAGTTTTTAATGTCTGACTTTAAACTTTGTATATGTATCTTCTGTTGCCTAATAGAACCACTGGTATTTACTTTTTTTTTTGTCTTGCTATTCATTCTCTTTATAATTTCATTTCTTATCATTTATGCTCCCTATATCATATTAGCTATATAAGATGGATATTCAGAGGAGGGTAGCTGGGCCTTCTGCCTCAATTTATTTCTTTATAATGTTTCTTTGGATTTGATAAATCAAGAAATCATTTGTAATGCAAATATCTTTTTGGATTGAGTTAGACATTAATCCATAAAAGAAAGCCACCATAATCGATAATGCTTTAGTTTCTTGACATCTGAATAACAGGGCTCTAGGGTATTAAGAAAGTAGAAGTAAATTTGAAGGCATAAAAGGAAGGTGATAGGTATTTGGGAAAGGTCTAAAGTTTTATGTTTTAATATCTGAAGAGAGAGGTGAGGAAGTGTAGGAGTGGGCCTTCAAGAGCAGAGGGACAGAGTGATGTGACAGACTGAGGAGGAAAATGTCACAGAGAAAATATGATGGATGGTAGATCCCAGAGACAAACATTCACTAGGTTCAACCCTTCCTTCTTCTCCTGAAATAATACCGCTTTCTCTAAAGATTCCATTCTTCTGCGTTGAACAGGACATCAACAAGGGTAGACAGGACAGGGCGGCTGTGGTCACGGAAGACAGCCGGAGGAATTTTAGTGAAGCATGCTGTATGCAGAATGTAACTTTCCCACTTCTTCTCTCTCACAGGTTTTCTGAACCAGATGAATAACTCCAGTCACTCTGTCCTTCAGCCTTCATTCCAAGGGTGCATGCAGCTCATCCAAGTGGATGACCAACTGGTGAATTTATATGAAGTGGCACAGAGGAGGCCGGGGAGTTTTGCGAACGTCAGCATCGACATGTGCGCCATTATAGACAGGTATGCAGTCTTGTCATCCTACTTCTAAGTGTGCAAACTTCTGAATTCATGCTTTTGTTGTGGGACAAGACACACACACACACACACACACACACACCATGTATAAGAGGTAAGGCGGAGGAGCCATCTGTCATGCCTACAGCATATGTGTGATTTTAGCAGTGACATTTATAGCAGGACCTGGGTATATATGGTAGAACAATCTGGGATGTCACACCAATCTCCCTCCATAAATGTGAGCATTATTCAGGTAGTTTTGCAAGCAACAGTTGAGTTATAAAGGAACTCAGTTTATTTTAAATTTTGCTTCCTATGCCCACAAGCAGAAATGTCCCTTCTCTTCTTGTGTTGGTCACGACTCATGCTCAGCATATTTTCCCCTCCAAAGCCCTCTCCTGAAGGAAAAGAAGCTTTAAAAATGTTGGCAGGCAGTATGGGAATTTACTGAAACAGAATATTTAATGTAATTGAGTCTGCTTACAAAATACACATACTGAAATATTGCAAAATCTAATCTATATTCATTTTTGCAAATCTGGGGAGGAGCTTTTTTTTTTTATAAAAACCTAGTTGACTTTTCACAGAGTAGAAAGATACAACTCTTACATGAATTATTACATCATTACATACACTAACCTTAATATATTTCTAAAAAGTGCCTTTCATTCTACCATGAAAAGTAGTATGAGATATTTCATCCATAAATAAACCATATCTAACTTTGCGTTGAATTTAATCTGGTGATTTTTAGGTGATTTTCTAAACTGTATTCAAATCTTTTATGAGAGGGCTATCTTACTCTGAAAAATAATTTTATTAATTTTATATTTTGCAAGATGAAAGTTTCAGAAGACTTAGTCTGCTCCCAACAAAGAGTAGACTTTCAGTCTCTAGTAATCTTACTTCATTTAAGAGGAGATCCTTAGGAAAGTCATCCAAAGACACAAAATAAACCTTAAAAAGACATAAAATCATCTATAATAAAATAAGTTTGCTGCCATATAACCTCAATAAAATTATATCCATGTGAATGGTAAATTACAGTTTAAATGATGGCTATAGAATGTAACTTTTTTAAGTCTTAATATGTTTATAATGAGACTTGATGACATAGCATAGTTCTTATTTCTGTTACATATTTGCAAATACTCATCCTGTTGGCCTAACCAATTTATATTTAAACAGAACAGTGAACAATTTTAATGGAAATATATTCCTAATTTTTGAACCAGCAATAATGCAATAGCTATTATTTCTGCCTAAAGCAAGTGGTAGCAATAATAAGAAAAACTGAGACATGAATGTTTTAAGACCGTATTTGTGATATTTGATATTTATCTATAAATTTTTATTAATTGTCTTCCATACAGGAAGATTTTTCCTTCTTAGTAATATGTATACAGCAGATTGAGTTATTTTAGTGCCTTGTCCATTTTCCATGTCAGTAGATTTAATGATATAATAATTTCTGTCAGTAAACTAACCCAAGTTAGTTTATTCGGCTTTTGTAAACAGGCTAGATTTTATGGTGATGTTGCTATTTACTTTGAACAGCATGTATCCTGGACATTATGTTTAAATTGTTTGCTACCAAAGAAATATGGGTAAGATGTTGAGACTTTAATGTTTCACTTCCATGGAGGGAGTAGATGCTAAACTGGCCCCAAAAGAATGAATGGGATTTTTATATATGAAGAAAATGGAAAATGGCATTTCTGATGAGAAGAACAATGCAAGAAAAGATGGAGAATAGGGAATACAGATTTCAATTTTTGGCAGATACAAGAATATACAAAATATTTTTTCACCAAAATGGGTCAGTCCCATTGTCCATATTTCCAAGCATCCTATAGCTGACAGAACAAAGAATATGTCTTTTTTATCCTCCGGGATGATAACCCAGTAGATTAGCTATGGGGAATTTGTCACCTCTGACAAATCAACAATTGTAAAGTCCACTAGGGAATCTATTTTCTGTTTGTTCTCATTTTTGAAGGCAATGACTTTTTTTTTCCCCTCCCTAAATTGACGTGTAATTGACATATAACAATATATTAGTTTTCGGTGTAAAACGTAATGAATGGATATGTATCACAAAATGATCATCAGGACAATAGCTTATATACATTAATTTCCAATATATGAAAGAACACATTCCTTTATTCATCTAAAATGTTTCCAGTTCAAAATTGTCATCTGTGAAGTGTTGTATTTTTGTATGTTTGAAAAGACTGTTTTCACCTTATGCCAACCATTGAGGAGCTCATTGATGAGCTCACCCTTACTCTGTGTCTTTCCATGTGAGGGCACTAGTGGTTTTAGCCTGTCTTCATATAAGTGACCACCAAATAACACTGGAATGATACATTCCCAGCCCATCTCTAGTTTGATGTTTTCCCTCTAACTAAAACTTTGCAACTGCCCAATCTGTGCCATTTTATTTTCAAACCATCTAAATTTTCCCTAAGTAAGCCTACAGTGGCTGTTTCTTACTTTGTTCCTTTCAGATTTCAGCTTGATTGATTTGAGAGTTATTTTTGAAAGAAAAAAAAAGAAAAAGAATAAATGAGAACATAGGGTAAAAAAAAATAGAAAAGCTACCACAGGCACAATTTTTATGAACTATTTGGAGATGATAGAAGCAGCTGCAGTGATTTGATAAGTGGAATTTAGGGAAATCATTTGGGGAAGATGATGGGGTTTTGCTGTGTGTCATAGGGGAATACCCTATGATTTGAACTTATTTCTCTTTCTTTGTGTGTGGATTTACATGTGGCTTGTTTTATTTACTTGTTTGTTTTCTGAGCACAGCAATGAATCAAGAAAAGAGTGAGCATGCCAGGCTGTAGAATTCAGTAGTATGTTCTGAGTGTATCAGTGGTGCCAGGCACTGTTCTAGGCACATAGGATACAACATTGAACAAAATAGACAAAGATCCTTGTACTTGTAAAGTTCACATTCTGAAGAAAAAGGAAGAAAAACAAATGTAATAAGGAAGGAAATATTATAGTAGGAAGAAATAAGTTCTATGGAAAAAAAAAAAAAGAAGAAGAAGAGCAAATCAAGGAGAACTGGCATTCCAAGAGATTGAGGTGTTGGGTTGTAGTATAAATGGGTTGGTCAGAGTTAGCCTTATTGAAAAGATGATATTAGTTCAAGACCTGAAAGAAGTAACAGAATTTGCCAATTCTGTTGGCAAGAGAATAGTCAGTGTGGAGAGGACAGTCAGAGCAGCAAGGCTGCCTGGCATGATCTAGGATCAGCACAGGACCAGAATGGCAAATTTGGAAGGACAAGTAGAGTTGTGGGAGAGGAGGTCAGAGCAGTTCTAGAGGTCAGGTCCTGGAGATCTATAAGTTATTTTAACGATTTGGTTTTTATTCTGAGGGAATGAAGGAGCCATGCGGGTTTCTAAGTAGAGCAATGACATGATCTGTCTTACTCTTTAAAAGGATAACTCTAGGGGCACCTGGGTGGCTCAGTGGGCTAAGCGTCTGCCTTTGGCTCAGGTCATGATCTCAGGGTCCTGGGATCAAGCCCCACATCGGCTCTTGCTCAGCGGGGAGCCTGCTTCCCGCTCTCTCTCTGCCTGCTGCTCTGCCTACTTCTGATCTCTCTGTCAAATAAATAAGATCTTTAAAAAAATAATAATAAAATAAAATAAATAAATAAAAATAAAAGGATAACTCTGGCTGTGGGAGGAGGAAAGATAGGAACAAGGAGCCTAGTATAGTAATCTAGGTGAGAGGTGCTAGTGGCCTAAGACCAGAGTGCTAGCATAAGAGGTAGTGATATGCAGTCCGTTCTGAATATATTTAGAAAGTAAAGTCAATAGGGTTTCTTGATGGACTAAATATTAGAGTTAGAGAATAAACCCAAATTATTTAGTTTAAGCAACTAGAAGGAAGGAGTTACCATCTTCCAGTGGGAAGACTAGGGCAGAGAAGATTGGTCAAGGGTTGAGGAAAAAGATCAGGAATTCATGTTGAAATTTTTGCTGGACATAGTGGACATATCAAGAAGGCAGTTGGATATACATAAGTAAGAGGCATGTATCTGCAGATTACACAATCAAATGCTGTCTGATAAAATCTCCATGTTTGCCTGTTGAGGGCCTCTGGTTTCTTTAACTGTATTTCATGAAGAGCCATAGGCATGGAAGGGGAGAACATGAATAGCGGGCAGAAAGCCTCTTCCAACATTGGGAGCCTGTAGCTTTACCCTTTGAAGGATATCCTGATCTTGGAGAGGAGGACCTTCATCAAACCTTCAGTTGCTAGTATATTCTCTGAAAATGATAAAATATCTAACAAATAACTTCTCTGTTTCTCCTGGATGATTGTCACCTTTTATTTGCTCCTAGTGCCTTTATTTTGTTGGCTCCTTGTGGCAGATGTCTTCAGGTGCCCAGTCAGTTCCTCTTCTCGATCCACGTCTCTCTAACTTCTTTGTAGGCATGAGCATCTGAGAGTCAGAAGCCTACTAAACACTCCTAGAACTGACTAACGTTCGGTTTGTTCACTGCCTCCCATAGGGCATCACGAAGTGGGTAGGGGGCAGTTAGGGAAGGGAATTGGGAAGGAGCCTTGGGAAGATCCTGGCAAGTGTTGGTCAAATGTGTAAACTAGGAGAGTTGCAGTAACAGACTGTGGAACTTTTGAATCTATGTGGAGTTACTGTTTGATTAGCTTGCCTGTGATTCTCATCTAAAACATAGGGGATGACAAAGGTGGTGTTAGATTATTTTGAGCTTATGTAGATGGTGTTCATGACTGGTCTGGCAAACTTTACCTGCTTTGTGAGTAATATTAATAATACACTACATCTTGCTGGTTGTGATTTCTGTATCAATCATCAGGCCACCCTCATCGTGTAGCTCCAGAGAGATATTCTTTCTTTGTCGTAGGCAGGAGTGACAATGGGATACAGTCCTGGCTAATGAGAGATAAGCAGAAGTCACCTATGGTATTCTTGAGGAAGCTTTTAGTTTCTTGATTCA